TTTTTAAATGTACCAGGTTTATATATAGGCTATATATGAAGTTGATAAGCAGTTAAATGTGTTGGTTTACACACACAGAAAAGCGTAAGCTTTTAATAAGTCCAAGAATAAAATGATTAATTTACTTAACATGTTAAATTTGATTTACAGAACTTTTGTGCTGTTTTCTAACAGTTTGGACTTGAATAAAGAGAGAAAACTTGCACTTAACCTTTTCACAGGCATTTTGTTTTCATAGTTAGACAGATATTGTGATGCATCGTTATAGGATTGTCTAGCAATATATCGATTATCGCGATATTATCGTATAGTGAGCCATGTATTGTGATTCGTATCGTGAGGTACCCTGCGATTCCCACCCCTACTATAAAGCATGACGATAAGCTTGCCTTTAAGCCTATATTAGACTGCTTAGACGAACTGAAACTCTGGCTTGCTAGTAATTTCTTAAGTCTTAATGAGAGTAAGACTGAAATGATCTTGTTTGGTTCAAATGATTAGCCTTCCAGCCTACATCAGATCCGCCCAAACCTTGTCAACTTTTAAATCCGCCTTGAAAACTTACCTTTTCTCCGTGGCTTTCAATATACCTTGATTCATATCGGCATTAATATGTTTTGATTCTAGCTTTTCTCCTCTATTTTATCTTATTTTAGGCTTTTATTTATTTTTTCTCTTACTTTTATTGTTTCTCTAGTGCTTAAATGCTTTGTGTCTTTATTGCCTGTCTCTTTTAGCCTTGTAAAGCACTTTGGTCAACACCAGTTGTTTTTAAATGTGCTATACAAATAAACTTGTATTGTATTGTATTGATCTCACATCAGTCTGATCTCACACACACAGGATGAGATACACACAGTCTGATCTCAAACATCTACTCACAGTTCACCACCACGTTGACGTATTTGACATCAGGAGTGGAGACGTCATTGCTCGCTTTACACTCGTAACGTCCGGCCTGAGAGCGAACGATCCCAGAGATCTCCAGATACTCGCCCACGTCCAGAGCCTCAGCTGAGAAACACACACACACACACTCATCAGTGTCCAGCAGAGGGCGCATGTGAGGCTCCTCAGACACATGCGTCACATCACTAACCTCAGCACTAACATCATATATAATAAAATATCATAATATTCCAGCAACATCAACAAACCAGAGCTGATCGAACAGAATCACACTTAATAAAACAAACAGCTGATGATACAGAACATGAGCAACAGATTCAGAACATCAGACCGACAGGAGCTTTAGTGATCAGATCATGTTCACCATTAATTAAAACATTATCTCTCTCTATCTCTCTCACACACACACACACACACACACATACACTCTGATCTGGTCAGCTTTTCATCAGGAAGTTGAAAAGCGTTTCAGAACACAAGTAAGTGGAGGGGGGACTCATTTGCATATTCATGTTTTATTCATAAGCATAATTTACCACAGTGAGGCACAATGCATTTATTTAGTGAATACTAATTTATGTAAAACCATGAAATTGGCAAAGTTCAGCAAAACCGAAAGATCACAGACACACAATAAATACACATAATGTTCACACAAAGGTTCTTCTGTGAGTCTGAAGGACATGCGGACACTGAACCCACGATCACTTCAGACTGACAGAACCCTCACAATCAGGACAGCAGGACAGGAGCCTGATGCTTTGTGGTCACTAGGTAGGTCTAGGTGGTTGCTAGGCAGTTTTGGATGATGTGTTGTGGTTGCTAGAGTGTCATGGGTGATGCAATGTGGTTGCTAGGGTGTTCTGAGTGATGCTATGTGGTTGCTAGGCAGTTTTGGATGATGTGCTGTGGTTGCTAGGGTGCTGTAGATGATGTTTAATTGGGTTGCTAGGGTGTTCTGAGTGATGTTATGTGGTTGCTAGGTAGTTTTGGATGATACGATGTGGTTGCTAGGGTGTTGTGGGTGATGTGGTTGCTAGGGTGTTCTGGGTGATGTTATGTAGTTGCTAGGTAGTTTTGGATGATATGATGTGGTTGGTAGGGTGTTGTGGGCACACACACACACACACACACACACCTGATTCTCATGCTCATTTATTCATGTCAACACACTTGTGTTGTAGTTTATTCCACACACACACACACACACACACACACACACACACACACCTGATTCTCATGCTCATTTATTCATGTCAACACACTTGTGTTGTAGTTTATTCCTCACACACACACACACACACACACACACACACACACACCTGTGATCTGATTGCTTTAATGCATTTATTAATACTCATTCTTTCTTACGCAGTGTTAATGAGCAGCTAATGATCAGGTAATGAACAGGATGAACATTCATGAGATAATGAGATTCTGACGTTTGATGAAACTACCCATGTGTAAAAACATCATAATCACACGTACAGTAACACACATGTGCTGTGTGTGTGTGTCAGTGAACAGCAGACTTGAGCAGTTTGTGTGTGTTGATCACTAACATGAATTCTTCAGTGTAAACGTGTGTGATTTGAGCGGTAGATCGTGCTGCTGAGGTGGATAAACTTCTGCTGACATCTTTCCTCTGAACATGAATCTGAAGCCTCTGACTAACCGAGAGAATAAATGTGAGCTAGACGTGTTTTCAAAGACATTTTCAATATTTGAGAAACACAACTGAAACGACTCAATCACAGTCGTGTGATGCATGACGTCTCTGACTGAACCGCTCAGTGCTGGTTTAGAGCCAGTTTAATGTTACAGCAAACACTGATAACACTTGATTAATGTTCCAGCTGTTGTGTTAAGAACATTAACAGTAATGTTCCAGGCCTCCGTCTCCAACCTTTAGTGACCTTCTGTGGAAAAGAGGATCTCCAACCATTACAGCATCAATCCACACACACACACACACACACACACACGGATGGTCAATACTTTAAACAGCATTCAGCTCTTTTCAGTAAATGCAGCTCCCAGCACGTCTGCAGCAGTCAATGAGAAACATCTTCAGGACAACAGATACACTGTGAACATGAAACCACTGATCAACACACACACACACACACTTCTCTCGCTGAAACTCTTTTGACTTCCTGTCTGACAGAAAGAGAACATGCTGACAGAATCCAGGTCAGAGCGTTTGAAGGTTCTTCTGTGAGTCTGAAGGACATGCGGACACTGAACCCACGATCACTTCAGACTGACAGAACCCTCACAATCAGGACAGCAGGACAGGAGCCTGATGCTTTGTGGTCACTAGGTAGGTCTAGGTGGTTGCTAGGCAGTTTTGGATGATGTGTTGTGGTTGCTAGAGTGTCATGGGTGATGCAATGTGGTTGCTAGGGTGTTCTGAGTGATGCTATGTGGTTGCTAGGCAGTTTTGGATGATGTGCTGTGGTTGCTAGGGTGCTGTAGATGATGTTTAATTGGGTTGCTAGGGTGTTCTGAGTGATGTTATGTGGTTGCTAGGTAGTTTTGGATGATACGATGTGGTTGCTAGGGTGTTGTGGGTGATGTGGTTGCTAGGGTGTTCTGGGTGATGTTATGTAGTTGCTAGGTAGTTTTGGATGATATGATGTGGTTGGTAGGGTGTTGTGGGTGATGTGATATGGTTGCTAGGGTGTTCTGGGTGATGCTATGTGGTTTCTAGGCAGTTTTGGATGATGTTCTGTGGCTGCTAGGTAGTTCTGGGTGGTTGCTAGGGTGTTGTGGGTGATGTGATGTGGTTGCTATGGTGTTCTGAGTGATGCTATGTAGTTGCTAGGTAGTTTTGGATGATGTGCTGTGGTTGCTAGGGTGCTGTGGGTGATGTTTAATTGGGTTGCTAGGGTGTTCTGAGTGATGCTATGTGGTTGCTAGGTAGTTTTGGATGATACGATGTGGTTGCTAGGGTGTTGTGGGTGATGTGGTTGCTAGGGTGTTCTGGGTGAAGTTATGTAGTTGCTAGGTAGTTTTGGATACTGTGCTGTGGTTGCTAGGGTGCTGTGGGTGATGTTTAATTGGGTTGCTAGGGTGTTCTGAGTGATGCTATGTGGTTGCTAGGTAGTTTTGGATGATGTTCTGTGGTTGCTAGGGTTATGTGGGTGATGTGGTTGCTAGGGTGTTCTGAGTGATGCTATGTAGTTGCTAGGTAGTTTTGGATGATGTGCTGTGGTTGCTAGGATGCTGTGGGTGATGTTTAATTGGGTTGCTAGGGTGTTCTGAGTGATGCTATGTGGTCACTAGGCAGTTTTGGATGATGTTCTGTGGTTGCTAGGTAGTTCTGGATGGTTGTTAGGGTGTTGTGGGTGATGTAATGTGGTTGCTAGGGTGTTCTGAGTGATGCTATGTGGTCACTAGGCAGTTCTGGGTGGTTGCTAGGGTGTTGCGGGTGATGTGATGTGGTTGCTAGGGTGTTCTGGGTGATGCTATGTGGTCACTAAGCAGTCTTGGGGGGTTGCTAGGGTGTTGTGGTTTATGTGATGTGGTTGCAACAACACGCATGATCTGCAGCACACATGGTGTAATAGGAGAGTTTCCAGCAGCTGATTGGCTGTCTCTCACCTGACGGGTTGAGCAGTCTCCAGGTGATGGAGGGATCTGGCCTCCCACTGGCCAAACACGTCAACGTCACGTTACTGCCCTCGTTCACAGTGATGTCGTCCGAAACTTTATAGATGACTGGAGGAACTGAGAGAGAAAAACAGAGCAGAACGACATGAGCGGGAAACACTGAGGGATGCTGGGAGATTTGTGTTCATGCTAATACAGATACACACACATCAGAGTGTCGCTCATAAACATCCGCTTGACCTCACAACACACACACACCCTGCGGTGTTTAATGCGGACGCTGCAGAGCATAAATAAAGCCAAACGCGTGTGGAAATATCACACACACATCATCTGTTATGAGCCGCAGACACACTCGTCCATTATTCCCGCACACGTCTATCAATGCACACACAATCCCACATATTCATCAAACCCATGCGCCATTTAATGAAGCACTTTGTCATTTTCTTGATTTACTCTGAGATCCAGACTAACACGAACTCAGAGCTGCAGCTTCAGCAACACAAACCTGCAATAAATCAGCGGCAAGAGACAGAGATTCATCTGCAGCACATCTGCCTCCAGCAGCGCTCATACGCATTCATCTGTGTCTGTCAGCACTCACTCACAGACCCCGCCCCTTCTGACACAGTCCCCACCCCTTATAACTGAAACTCCGCCTCCTCCATACACAAATCTACACCACAGCGTTCATCCCATTCATCTGTGATTCTGATGTCATTCTGATCTCTAATGAAGTCCTCTCTAATCCCAGACCCCAGCTTTTCTGACACAAGTCCCGCCCCAGGCTCCTCCCCCCAACATGCTCAACCACATGATGACACTGAGGGAGGAGTTCAATAAAGGAATTATGCAAATCAGACTTAAAAACGCCCACATAATTATTGCTGACTGCAATTTGCACAGAGCAGTGGATGAGATTAGTGTGAGGTCAGTGTGAGATGAGATGACGCGCTCTCTGTCTGTCTGTAGGTTTGTAAATGGACAGACGTGTTGTCAGTGTCTGATAAATGATGTTCACTAGGTGGCAGATTGACTCTGTTTCTCACAGCAGTGCTTCTGCACTCCATTCTCTCGCTCCGTCTCTCTCTGCTTTCTCCTTAAACAATCACTGTTGCCTTTTTAAAAACACTCTCTCTCTCTCCTCAGAGTGTCTCTGTCTTTCTCTCTAACACGCATGAAATTGGAATTGTAGTTGCAGCAGGACTGACAAGAAAATCTCATACAGAAATACATGCTTCTCCAGCCCGACAAGAGCAGACTCATAAACACACACACACACACACACAGACACACACACACACACACACACACACACACACAGCATAATTTCAGGGTCGCTCTCACACCTGAAAACACCATCAGCAGCTGCTCATTATTCTGCAGTTTATGATGTTTATATGAGTTCATAAAAGCCTCATGAGTGAAAATCATCATGACCTTCATACAGAAACAGCTGTCAGACCCTCCACAAAAAACACATTACTAACATTACAGACGTTATTCATATTAATTAAATTACTTATATTACTGACATTACTAATATTACAAATTACATAGATTTCAGACATTAATAGTGCTTGTAAAATTACAAATATTACAGACATTTTGATTGACATTACTAATATTATAAGTTACTAATATTACTGAGATTACTAATACTACTGAAATTAATAATATTACAGACATTATGACTGACATTATTAATATTATGTTACTCATATTAATGACATTACTAATACTACTGAAATATTTAATACTACAGACATTACAACGGACTAAAATTACTTGCTAAATACTAAAAGATACTTAACTAAAGTTAACTTACTACAACTATAAATTACTAATATGATTGACTTTACTAATGTTATAAATCACTGATATTACTCATATTATTAACACTAGTGAAGTTAGTAATATCACTAACATGATTAATACTATTATTAATTAGTAATAAGAATGACATTATTAATATTACAAATGACTACTATGAATAAACAGTACAAATTATATTACTAAGAGTAAAGTAACTAAAATTAATGACATTACTAATATTACTGACATTTGTAATATTAATGATATTGACATCTCGTGATTGAGGTATTCATTATAGGGTCTAATCGTGAAGAATCAAAGTTTTCTGATCTCGATCTCGATTGATAAAACACCTTTCTCAACTCAAAAGTAGACATGTGCGGTAATCAGTAATGCGATATATCACGATAATGAATGTGTACGGTATTGTTATCATGGGCACTTCAAAATACTGAGAATAATTATTTATTACAAATTACTCAGAATTTTGAATGCATTTTAAGAATAATAATAATCTCATTAATATAAGGATGTCCAGTCAACACTATTTAATAAATCTATTCAGCAGCTACACAGTTTAGGTAATTATAACATAAATCATTTACATAAAGCCTTTAAGGCACAGTAACACATTTTAATAATAAGTGGACCTCAGGGAAAAATAAATAATTACAAAATGTCTTCATAATTCTGAATTACAGCAAACTAAACTTGCCTGACCTTAAACAGAACTACAGTATCTGCAGTTCTACAGTACACTGAGTTAGGGCTGGCGCATTATTATAGTGCTCATGAATTATAGTTCATTTAAAATAGTAAGCCTGAGACCTGAAAAACCGTCTGATCTCAAACCGCCGAAGACCAGCTGAAAGCTGAAGATCTGCACCATATTCCTCCAGAGATGAAGCAGGCCAAAGATGAATTTTAAGCTGGTAAATATCTCAGTCTGCTAAAAATATTTGACCCAATACAAACACAGAAGAAAAGAGCTGCTCCCTTCAGAAAACAGTCGCCTACTGCAACTTACCAATTAATGATATAAACGGCAGGGGCAGAGGTCAGAGGTCACAGGTCAGGTGATGAGGTATTAACCAGGGTTAATGTTTCTAACTATCTCAACATGTCAAACACACAGAGGAACTGATATAACTGCACCAATGTACACACACACACACACACACACACA